ATATATATATATATATATATATATATATATATATATATATATATATATATATATATATATATATATATATATATATATATATATATATATATATATTTATATATATATATATATATATATATATATATATATATATATATATATATATATATAGCTTGGAGCTATGGAGCTTCTCAACTAGCGCACTATTCAATAGAAACAATTGCACATTATTGGTCTCTTGACAATCCAAGAATAAAAAAGCAGGTACAAATTCAAGGGGGAACTTCATTCAATTAGAAATTGTGGAATGATGTCTTGCATGCTCTAGATAACCAATCTTTGGTGGCAGCAAGACGGAGCTTCTACCCACAATGAAACGCAATTCTTTAACCAATGGTTTTGTAATTTGGCCCGCTAGGCGCCTAGATCTCAGTCCCATTAATTTTTTATATTGGAAATATCTTAAAGAACCGTTTATTTAAAAATACACGTCACACAATTTTCCAGTATTACGGCAAAACAGAACAATTCATGGAGCTCAATTAAAAATGCAAGGCAAAGCAGGCAAATGCATCCATACAGAATGTTATCTCTTTGAACACTTATGGTTATTAAGTTATGTTTATTTTTAATATGGGTGTCAAAATAGTATAGCACAAACTATTTATGTAACCTGATTTGTTTTTATTTTTGTATCTTATGTTTAATTTCATGGAAGTTTCCGTTAATAACTGGCAACTAAAACATTTATTCTATAATATTCTTTATTTTATTACTTTCTCATCTAAAAATAGTAGTACAGAACTATATTTGGATTAAATAAATATAAATTATAAAAAGGTTGCCATATAGTATTTTAAGAGAGACGAAAGGATTTATTTAAATTGAAAAAAAGATCTAGTCCGTATTCGGAAATTTACAAAATTCAAAATATTTATTTTTGAATAATTAATATATAAATTGTAATATGAATGTCTCCAGGAGGATCACCCCTTAAATTTTTTGCTCATAATTTCCGGACTCCATGGATTTGTAAAATTTTATGGGTAGAACGCGCTCTGTGATTAATCATATGTTTTATTTATAGTGCAGTTTCATACATAACTTTGTAGATGGTGCCAGTGGTACAGATACGATATGGACCTAAGGTTTTGAAGAAATTTTATTGTATATTTTTCTTTTTTATTAAATTATTTAATTATTAAATGTTTTTCCATCACTCACTTTAAAATTGCATTTTTTCTGATACTAATGGCATATTTATTTCTATTTTACGTCTTTGGGGGTATTTTCTATAACTATAGTTTAATATCTATATATAAGGTTGTTTGGAAAGTCATTTCGTTTTTTCCCGTCAGAGGACTTAATTACGTTTTTTCGAAACCAACTTCACACTTAAGCCGCATAACCATTATATGTCTTGTGAGCTGATATTGCAAGGCTTGTGTGTGAAAAAGTTCTATTAATTCTACGCAGTAGTTTTTGGTTGGTGCCCTTTTAAATATGGAGAGCAATAAGCAGCATTTTCGTCATATTTTACTTTTTTACTTCAGAAAAGGTAAAAATGCTGTTCAAGCGAGAAAAAAATTGACGGATGTGTATGGAGAAGGCGTGTTAACAGTACGCCAGTGCCAGAACTGATTTGCAAAATTTCGATCCGGCAATTTTGATGTCGAAGATGCACCACGGTCTGGAAGGCCGGTCGAAGCTGACAAAAATGCGATAACGGCATTAGTTGATGCAAATCGGCGAATAACCACACGAGAGATCGGTGAGAGATTAAATTTGTCGAATTCGACTGTTTATGGCCATTTGAAAGGCATGGGCTTAACCTCGAAGCTCGATGTGTGGGTGCCCCATGTCCTTACGGAGCGAAATTTGTGTCGTCGCGTTGACGTGTGTGATTCGCTCCTCAAACGTCAAGAAAATGATCCATTTTTGAAGCGGATTATTACTGGGGACGAAAAATGGGTTGTATACAACAATGTTAAACGCAAGAGGTCATGGAGCAGAAAAGATGAACCGGCTCAAAGCGTGTCAAAAGCCAACATTCACCAAAAAAAGGTGATGCTCTCCGTTTGGTGGGATGTCAAAGGAATCGTTTTTTTTTGAGCTTTTGCCGGACAATACAACGATTAATTCAAAAGTCTATTGTCATCAAATGGACAAATTGAATGATTCACTTAAAGAGAAGAGGCCCGAATTAATCAACAGGAAGGGTGTAGTGTTCCACCAGGATAATGCGAGACCTCACACAAGTTTGGTCACTCGCCAAAAACTTTTACAGCTTGAATGGGACGTACTGCAACATCCACCATATTCTCCAGATCTGGCGCCTTCCGACTACTATTTGTTCCGGTCCCTGCAAAATTTTTTGGATGGCAAAACCTTTACCTCAAATGAAGATGTCAAAAACCACCTGAACCAGTTTTTTGCCAGCAAGGAGCAAAACTTTTATGAGAGGGGAATTATGTTACTGCCAGAAAGATGGCAAAAGGTGTTGGACCAGAATGGCCAATATATAATTTAATAAAATATTTATTCATTATACGAAAACTGTCTTTCATGTTCCCCAAAAAAAACGAAATGACTTTCCGAACAACCCAATAATTTAATAACATAATATTATTATTATTTACTAATATTAACTTAAAACAATAATAATTTTCTTACCCCTAGATACATTTATGACATTTGTCCTTCCGTTTACTATCTAATTATGCCAAAACTAGAAGTAAAAATGATTATTTCTTTTTTAATTTGCTGCAAAACTGGAGATTAGGACGACAATAATTTTTTGGATGTCGTTTATATATTTATAACTTAGCAACACAACAAAATATTTTATGCTAATACTTGTATAAAAAAATACTAGCTTGTTGACTAAATCGGTAATTTAAATATGTTCCGTTCTTAGCAATATGTCCACACCATTTTTAATTTTTCCCACAGAAAAATGCGTGCTAAAGAAAGTAAACGATAATGAGTTAAGTACAACTTATTTAAAAAAATAGATTCAAAAAGACACAAACTCTATAGAGCTTTTGCAAAAGCAGAAAGTTATAGATAATTTTTTATATCACCAGTAATTTTAAAAGTCAAAAGGTAACGAGAAGCAAGTAGGAAGAGAGTTTATAGTTAAAAGTTAAAAGAAAAGAAAATCAATGAAGAGAAGGAAGTGAAAACAACCTTTACTAAGGCACCATAAGCGCTAGGAAAAGCATTGAGGAAACTGAAAAATGTCGCGCCCCATGTCCAGAAAAACAAAAAGGAATTGTGAAAAAACTAACTTTAACTAGCCACCCAATCCAAAAAGTTACAATTACGCTATAATATGCTTCCTGCATAGATGTAGAGCAAAAGAAATTCAAAAAATATTTAAAAGTTTTACTGACAACAAATGTTTTTTATACTGAATACGAAAATAATAGGAATAATATGTTGGTCTTTTTTGCGTAAAATTTAGTGTTTGTTCTATATAATATTTTTTATGTTTTCAAATTCCCTTGTAATATTGATATTAGTGAATAATTTACTACTCTACTACTTTACTTCATATGTGGTTCTAGACCTTAAAGTTTCATATAAAAATTCGGTAAGCAAATCAACTAAACTAGACCAAGATATGGTAAGGCCAGTATACTACATTACAGAAAGATAAGTTCTCTGAAGTAAGTAACAAGATGACTGAACATTGCCATCGAAAAACACACCACAATTCCTGCAAGAATCGGTAATATTAATGTTCTCATTGTTTGTGACAATCCTAAAATCAATATTCTGTAATCTAGCGTTTTTTTCCAAAAAATAATACCTTAGTTTTCGTTTCAGTTATTGTAAGAGCATGGGCACTAGAAATGTTTGAAACCAGTCGCAAATCAAAATTAATTTCGCTGTTGACCAGCAGTGAGCTTTCAACCATAAAGTATAAATATAACTGCATATCATCAGCATACTGATATGATTTCAGGTGTGGTGTGGGCGCAAAACACTAAGGGACCCTACGTGTAATATTAGAAAATGATGAAAATAAGTAGCATAAGGATACTCTTTGACTTCGTTTACTCAAATAGCTTTGAATGAAATAAATGGCCATCTTGAGATGAAGAACCAAGACCAGATGATCGATTATTCGAAACGAGACCTGTCGCGATTATTTTAATAAGAATATGAATGAAATTTACTATCCAGACCAAAATTTGTGTCAATTTTGAGTCAATGGTGTTATTGCACTTCCTCTACAAGCTCTAGAAAATGGCAGGTGGGAAAGAGAAAAGAGGAAATGTCAAAACTGTACTAAGAAAATTGTTCAAACCAGCCGGCCGTTTGTGTTGAAAATTTTTCCGAATTTTTCTAAATAATTTCTTTTGATATTTCGATTGCTCGTTTTTTTTTGTCAATGCTGCTGAACGTAATGAAATAACCATTTTTTTAAACTATTATCATTTAATTATTCCACCAAGACCGCAAGACGTGGATACACGTCTCTGAGCACTAAGCTGAAAAATTATGCTACACACTTAAACACAGAAAAACACATTTTTGACAACAATTTTGATATTTTACATATAGCCACAAAAAGTAGAAAATTAAATTTATTAGAAGCCATCGAGATTAACAAAATGAGACATTAACATATAATTTGGTTCATGCAAACCAATTCAAAAAAATAATTCGAGAAAAAAACGTATAAAAACCGACTGTTTTTAATTGTCCCGTCCATACCATACTATGGTACCCTGTAATATGGGATGATATAGGAAATATATTATTCCAAAATATTCATTTGATAGCATTATTATTCCGCAATAATATTCATGCGAAATAAAAATTATATACTTATTTAGTTAAAAATTTTATGATTTTTTAATATTTAATGCTTGTGATACGTCGTAATGAAAAATTGTAAAATATTTCAAAAATATGTTAATTTTTAATTAAATTCGACAAACTGATGAAATTACAAGTTAAGGAAAAAAAATTAAAATCGTTTTTTTTTTATTCATCGTTTGACTTACTTTTAAGTTCTTCTCCGTCTTTGGTGCAGCTTTTCTTTCCCATCACGCAGTCGATGTAGTTCCTTAGCAGTCTATCGTTTTTCAAAATGGCGTCCAGATCGACGTTATCGTATTTGGTGGTGTACTTCTCCTCCTGCGGTCTGCAGGAAGCCAAGCCGCATACGGCGGCGAACGCCAATAACAATAAAACTTTCATTTTCGTCAGGTTGATGCTTCCCGAAATGTTAATTTGAAATTTTTAAACGGCCGCTTCCTCCGCCAATGCATTTATATCGACCTATTGTTTCGCGTCCGGGAGGGGAAGGGAGAGGGGACGCCAATTAATTTTTTTGCGTCATCAGAATGACGCCGTCGCAAATCGTCGCGAACAGTTTTCGCGAGAATTGTTTTTTTTTTGTTAAATTAAAGGTCGGTCTTTTTTTCGGCTAATTTTTCGAGCATCAAAAAGGCCATATTGCAAAGTATCGTTTCCAAAAGTCGCAGGGGTCGTTTATAATGTACTAATGTCCTACGAGCTGCAAGTTCGTTGATGATATATCAAGTATTAATTTTTTGCGCCATTTATGCAATTTCAGATGTTAATTTTTATCTTTTAAAAGCTTGAGAAATATGTACTATATAAATACGATTAAGTAAAGGGTGGGCCGTTTATCTTTGGACACTGCGTTATCTCAGATGGAGCCAAAAGTTAAATACAAAAGTTAATTGGGGTATTATAAGCCATTCATTTATTTTAATTTTGTGATTTGTGTTTTACTAATGGTTTGGTTTTTCGTGGGCGAGTCTTAAATTTCTTATTTCTTATTCTATATAAAATTCTAGACACATTTTGTGCATAATGTCCTATACCTAAATCTAACCGTTTTTGACATTTTTTACAAGACTTCAAACATCTAAAAATTTCTTCATTCGGAAGCATTTGTTGTTTCACTTGAATAAGTTTTGTTGTCAACGAAGGACTGGAATAACGGATTTCATAAGAAATTTCGATACATATTAATACAGGGTACGCGAAAAATAAGAGTACAAAAACCTGCGAAAAATCTTTTTTTTTAGATTGAAACTACCCATTTTTTAAATTAAGGCAATTTTATATAAGGTTGTATATGCCCAATATATTTAATTTTTGAAATATTTGTCTATCATAAATATTATGCTGTTGCAATATAAGTTCAGTTAGTGTAAGGTGGCTATGACGGCGTTTGAACAAAACATGTTCTAAAGTGCTGCCACTATGCCACAGTTGACCATAATCTTTCTGATGTGCTTATGAAGATCCAAAGACTATGCATGCATTATTTATACAAAATAAGACCAAGGAATGTTTTTGTTAATTAATGATCAATAAAAAATTAATAGCTTACAAAAGATAATAATAATTAAAACAGTTGTCCAATATGTCCGTTCCTTTGAGCAATACAAGCAATATAAAGTGTTTTTAAGTACATAATAAGGTTCGGCTTTAATCTTCAGGGATCTCTGCAAAATGCAACAAAGCATTAAGTTCAAAGTTCCATGTATTCTACAGTGCTGGTAAATCCTGTAGAAGATCTTTTTATCTGGGCGCTTCCTTAATGGAAATTTTCTAATGTAATCTGTAAGAGCCAGGGTCTGGTTTTTATTCTACGATATGTAACTTTTTAACATATCAATCTTTTCCTTTGTGGTAAACATAATACGCAAGCGGCCTTCTAGCAGTTGTTTTGTTTAAATGCCGTCATAGCCACCTTACACTAACTGAACTTAATAAGGCAAAATGTTTAAAAAGATATATTTCAAGAAATGAAAATATTAGGCATATACAACTTTTTTTAATTACATTTTTAATCTTATTTTACGCGTTCCCTGTATTATTATGTATCGAAATTTATTATGAAATCCGTTATTCCAGTCCATTGTCTACAACAAAACTTATTTATATATTTCAAGTTTTGCAACGGTTAGACTTAGGTATAGGACACTATACACAAAATATGTCTAGAACTCTGCACAGAATTCAAAAATAAAGTAATATACCAGGCGTTCAATTTAAAATAAGAAAGTTTTATGTACAAAATTAAAATAAATTAAATTTAATTAAAATAATTAAATTTTGTGTTTATCTTTTGCCTCCCTCCCTTATAGTTTCTGAGATACGGTAGTGTCCTAAGATAAGCGGCCCACCCTATACAATTCCATGAAGAAAGCCTAGGTACGAGTTTTCACTTAGTATCAAAATTTCTAGTTCTTTTCCGTTCTCTCTTGTCGATAATACAAAAAAATGTGGTTATTTTGTTACTTCCCGAAATATCGCGAAAAATCTCAAACTTCCGGTTTTCATTTTTATTTTTGTATGTCTTTATTTTAAAACTTAACAAAAATCTATTAATACAGTCTCTTTGGAACTTTTTAAAAATCTCTTACGAAGTTTCTTTTTTTTTAAACCATCATCGGCTTTTTTTTTCTTCTGATCGCCATAATGGATTTTTTTATTGTAGTATTTGTGTATCCTCAAATTCTAGATACTGAACAAAACTTTTATACCATAGTAAGCTACAAATTTTAAAATGTGTCCTTTACATTTTAATATCTAGTGCGTTACTTAACAAAAAAAAAAATCCTAACAGGACCAGACGAAATCCCAACAAAGATAATAAAAATATTGGAAGAACAAGTAGATATACCATCTGACTGGCTCTGACTGAATCAGCAAAGGTTAGAAATTGCAATGAACACCGCACCATAAGTCTGATGAGTCATGTATTAAAACTGTTTCTAAAAATAGCACATCAAAGAATTTACCCCAAAATTGGGGAACACATTGAAGATACCCAGTCCGGATTCGGTAAGGGCCTAGGTATTGGTATTGGTATTGGTGTTAAAGGGGGGCGCCCTCGCGGTCGTCCAAGCACTTAGGCCACCAGATGGGACCGTTGTGCCCCCAGGCCGCTCTAGAGGGCGTCCAGATTGCCTCCCCTCCTGTTGAAGGTCAGCAACTCCTTTAGCCCAATACCGTGCACTGAGTCCGGATCGATCAGGGCCGTTCCGAAGACTCCCAATCTTGCCCATGTCAAGGCAGGGCACTCGGTGAGCAGATGATACGGGGTCTGCTCCCCTTCCATGCACCACCTACACTCCGGGTCGTCCCCAATGCCTAGCAAGCAAAGATGCCTCCTAAGCCTGCAATGTCCTGTGTAGGCCCCTGTTAGTGCTCTACACTCCCTTCTGGTCAGTCTAAGCAGCTCCCTGGTCCGAGGAAGGGCGGGCCCATCCATCATAAGCCTCGCCTGCCTCATTCCCGGAGCAACTCTCCAGCCCCCCGCGGCCCGGTCTCTCGCCCAGGCTTCGAGAGCTCCCCGCCTCACACACGGGGTGATCCCCAAGCGGGGCTCTGGCCCTATATGCCTATGCGAGGAGCCCTCCCTGGCTAAGGCGTCCGCTGCTCCATTGCCCCGGATACCGGTGTGACCCGGGACCCAGACCAACGTGACCTTTCTCTCCTCAGCCACCCTCCTCAGTAAACCTTTGCACTCCTTTATCAACAAGGAGCGCGTACGCACTGACTTCAGCGCCATGAGTGCAGCCCTACTATCCGAGCAGAAGAAGACTCTCCTGCTTCCGTAGTTGAGCCGAAGCACCTCTCTGGCCGCCATCAATAAAGCGAAAATTTCCGCCTGAAACACAGTGCAGTACTGACCCAGAGGGACCGACAAGCTTGATCCCGTCGTCTCGCAGTACGCTCCAGCTCCGGCCAGATCTCCCATTCTGGACCCGTCCGTGTACCAGACAAGTCCACCCCAGGAGCCGACTCTGCCTTCTCTCCAATCTTCCCTTGATGGAAAGAGAAAGGTCAATTTATCAAAGAAGGTCATCTCATGACGTCACTCGGCATGCCCATGACCCCGCGATCCCCGCGACAGCCCTCTAAAATGTCGTACGGACCCCGATCGAAGGTTCCCTCCCTCCAGAGCCCGCAGCTCGCCAGCCTCACAGCTGTCCTGGCCGCCTCCATCTGCACCCGATCCGCCAGAGAGGGCAGCCCCACCAGAGCCTCCAGGGCACTCGTGGGCGCCGTTCTCATGGCGCCCGTTATGCAGAGGCAAGCCAATCTCTGCAGTCTGTCAAGAACTAGCCTTGCTCCCGCTCTTTTGGTCCCCGGCCACCATGCCACTGCCCCATGCGTGAGCATAGGCACCACCATGGTACCGTAGATCCACCGCATGATCTTCGGCCCCAGGCCCCAAGTGCCCCCTACCGCTCTCCGGCACGCCCACAGAGCTCCAAAGGCCGACCTGGTCCTTGATCTTATATGTTCCTGGAAGGTCAACTTAGAGTCCAACCATACGCCCAAGTACTGGCTGTATCGGCCAAAGTAAACTTGAGAGCGTTAAAAGCAAAAAAGCAAGAGAAAGGTTGATACGTTTGAATACATGGACGTGTTCTCAGTTCTGTTGTATGAAGAAGAATCTTGAACTCTCACAGAGACTACCTTAAAAAAGCTGGATAAGGTGGATAGATCGGGACGCTAGTATAGAAGTCATGAACGGAATGAAGAAAAATAAAGAAATCATTGCTAACATCAAGATTAAGAAACTAACATACTTCAGCCAGGTAATAAGACACCTTGAAACATACAACAATCAGCATTTGATCATTTTGACTGAAAAACCTACGACAGTGGTTCGGACAATCAACTAATACGCTGTTTAGGACAGCGGTAAATAAAGTATTGATAGCCAACATGATTGCTAACATTCGGTTAAAAAAAATATGGCACGTCAAGAAGAATTGCATTACTGTGTGGTTAAAAATGAAGAAAAGCGATAGAAACAGAAACAGAAACACATCGGAAATGTATTAAAACATGTATCCTGAAGGAGGACAAGCTCATCAAGCTTTATTTAAATTATTGGTTAGAAATCTTCTTTCGTTTGAGAAACTAAGGCAATAATATGGAGGCAGAATGTATTAGGATTGATTATTTTATTCTTTTCAATAAAAGTTGGCATTTTGTAAAAAAATATGAACGGAACGCTTGGAGACACCTAAAAAATGTGGTTTCGAGTACTACAAAAATCCTCCAGGTGATCTCGAAAACCGATTACAAATTTTGTAACTGGCTACAAGGGAGGCGCGATTTTCCAGTTTTCCTAGAAATAGTGGTTAGGCAATTTTGAAAAATTCGACCGCAAGTCCAATTTGGTTAGCGGGTATTTATAAAGACAAGATTTTGGGGTCCACATTTTCTTAACGGCATTCCGAATGGAGAATCGTATTAAT